ATTTTGTTTTTTCTATAAAAACAACGCTTAATTATTTTATTATTTGAACAATGAGATTAGTGGTTGTCCTAGTCCTCTTTAATAAACAAAATCCTACCACTTAATTATTAATTTTCGATATGGATTAGATTTAATAATTTATGTCCACCTTCGAACATAGTGGTTTTCTTGAGTGGCACAATCAAATCTATCTTCACATATTAATAATTTAAGTTTATTTATTTTAATTCTATCTTCTAATTACCATAAAATATTTGCTTTTTATTATATTATATTTTAATATTTTCACACCGATAATTGTTGGTAATCTTATCCACATTTGACTTTAATTATCCAATTAAAATAATTGAAGGAACTGTTTAGCACAACTTCTTCCATAAACACTCTGAAAATGACCTTCTATTGGGGATAATATTTTGGGGTTGTCTAGGGTCCGAGAGGGGTTGTACTTCTCGGACCTAAACGATTAAAGATCAACCAATAAAAATGTGACACGTATGATTAGTACGAACCCCATTAAAAAAGTAAGAAACATGGATTAATATTGAAATTACATAAATATCCTTAAAACTAAAACTTAATTAAATATTAAATATTAATGATTTTTCAAAAAACAGAATATACAAAATTAGTAAGTAAAATTTGATTAAAAACAAAATTAAAAACAAAATTAAAATTCCATCTTCTTCTCTTCTTAAATTTACGAGTAATATATTTTTTTCTCCCCAACTTCAACTGAACAGGTACATCCCATCTCTTTCTCTCCACCACTTCAACAACGCATCAATCATAAGTTTGACTTCATCGAAATTCAGTCGAATTTAATCTCTTGTATTTAGCTAATAGCTGTTGATTCTTATATTATTTCTTCCGATTAATGTGATTTATTATGTTTGATTATGATTTATCTGATGGGATTAGCTTTAAATACCTTGGAACTGAGTGTTTACGAATAATGCAAATTGGTACTCTGTGATCTATTGGTCTTCGATTTGTTTTAAAAGAAGAATAAAAAATATGTTTCTGTTGATTGCGGGGAAAAATGTGAAGGGAATGTTTGTACAAATATAAGCGTACGTGGCATTTAACATTTTATTTATTTATTCTCGAGTTGTTGTTTCTGATTTCTATATGTTTATTTTAATTTATAATGTAAAGAGAGGAAAATGTTGATACTGAACTCTATAAACACAATCACTCTGCAAACGGGATATATGTGTTCATTGGTGGAATAAATTAATCGTCTACTTGCAGAAAATGGTATTCTATAATTTCCGAAGCTTGAAATAACTGAAGTACATAACAAATATCATTGGAGTGACAAAAAATATACAAATATGGTACTAATTTGTAAATCCTATTTGCCAAAGATACTAATGAAATTTAACTAATATGGCGTAAATAACCGGGATCTTGACTGCACCGCAGGAAGGTATCGATGGTTGCAGCCTTGAGAATTTCCATTGCGCCTAAACGGAGCCGAATAATTATATCTAGCAAGATGCGTGCAGTTGGTAATTTGTTTCGTCTCACCGTCACTACTTCACCAGAGTTCCATTGAGATACATAGTCAACACTCGGTCTATATACTGTCTTCTAATCAAGAGAGGGTGGACGCAAGAGTCCCTCAAACGACAAGTCCATCGATGCATATAGCTATAGAAATGAACTTTGGCAAGTGTCATGTAATTTCATTTTCTCCCGGTTTATTCACTCATTTGGTTATTGATGTACCATCCAATCACAAAAGGATCTCCAAGATCATAAGCTAATGATAATCCCACTAAGACAGGATTGAAAATCAAACACCTACTTACAAGTGAAATATAACAAAGAATGTACACAAGTTCAAAAGTTGATCTGCTCTCTCTTTTCATGAATGTAATAATATAGTCTTTCCTTGTATTTCATAGAATCATAATTTGTCTCCATAGCAGAGGTGAAAAAGATCACTACTTTCTTGATGGGAAGAATATTGAAGTCCAAACATTCAAGCACTAAATAGTTTGAGGCTGAGTAATATTGAAGTCTTTGTTCCTTAATCAGATATCTCATCAACATAATAATTTCTTCGGAGGAACCTAATCAACATAATAATTTGAAATAAAAAATGTTCAAAAGAGGTGGGCATCTTGAGAAACAATTCAAATTGATACTAGAAAAACATAACCTCAGAAGCTACATGTCCAGAGAGAATGTTCGAGGACTTATGTTTTCAATTCAATTCAATTCAAGAAACTAAAATACTCAAAAAATAACTATAGCTTCCTTATTCAATGTGAAGCATATGGAATTAAGATTATTAGAATTTCACATTAAGTTTCTAATGACCTGCAGGCTGCAACTGGAGTCTGAAGATCTCATGCTTGTCAATAAATTGGGTTCTATTTTGGTGGATTATGTTATAATAATTATGATTAAACTGCAAGTTTGAATCGAACTGGAAAAAGAAAAATAAAAAATAACCCAATAAAAATTTGGTCAGCGGCATGTTTTTCCATTGGGGCTAATCGAATCGGTGAAAAAGAGATTTTTCAATCTGTGCTTTACAATCCCGATGAGAAATTTCTTTTAATACCCATTGTGACAAAAATTTCTTAACAATCTCGATAAGAAATTTCTTAACAATGTGTGTTTTTAATAAAAATCTCTTTTCCATCTGATGTATATCTTCCACAAACTATGGTCCAGACGCCTTGGTAGCATTCTCCATCACTGGAGATTGAACCATGGGATACAGTGTCTCCATGAACAGAGGTGATGAAAGGTCTTGTTCGACGAAAGAAAAGAGAGTTCTTTGAAAATAATTGATGAATTTTGATTTTGTTTTACAATCATACCAGGCCGGAAAAAAAAAAAAAAAAGAAGAAGAAGAATGGATTAATAAAAAATTGTGTGGAAATATTATTTTCTTATATTATTTATAAGGTTAAGATAGTAATTTACAAAGAGTACGATGAGTGTACGATGGTGTACGATGCGTTTTTATTGAGTTCGTACAAATTTTTACTGTCGTACTGGATCGTACTAGGTCGTACCAAAATGTCAATGAATGAGATCGAAATTTGAACATTTTGTACGTCCCAGATTCAATCGTTTAGGTCCGAGAAGTACAATCCCTCTCGGACCCTAGACAACCCCTAATATTTTTTACTAAGTATGATTAAGTCTTGCCTGTTAAAAAAAAATAATCATTACAAACGAAATCAACACTGATCAATTTAAAATCAAAACAATTAATATTAATGGCATTGTCGTAATTATAGTGAAGACCAGGGGCGAGAAAGAGAGACTCGAGAAATCGAAACCAGGGTTAGTTGAAAGGTTGAAATGAACTGACTATAGTAAAGTTCAGTCGTCTTTATCCACTTTTCTTCTTACTGCATTTTTCCAAATAATTAATTCTTCAATAATGTATGTATCCTACACTTTATCCATTCTCGCTGCATTTAATTATCTCTATCCTAATTTCTCCCCTCTCTCTCTCTCTCTCTCTCTCTAAAAGCCTGTAATCTCTCGCACTTTCTCTCTCTAAAAAAACTATATCCATATGCACAAGTTTCTAATTCGTGTTCTCTCGCGTGCACACTCTCTCTCTCTACACCTTTTCGTGGAAAGCAAATGGCGAAACTCTTAACCGGTGCTGACGTGGACAGAATTTTCTGATTATCCGGTGATTTGTTTATGCCTTTTAGATTCGATTTCGTTTCGTAACCGGTGATTGTGTAATTTTTTTTTCGTTTGATTTAATATTTTTTCTATTTTGTTTGCAGGAATTTGATAATTTAAGCTATTTGAGAAAAAAAACAGAGGATTAGGTATAATCATACCGGTTTCTTCTTAAATAGGTAAAAAACTTAAATTCGTTGTGATTCCTCTGTTTGCTGATAATTGCAGCGGTGCTATTGTAATTTGTGTTATTTATCATGTTTTATTGATTATTGATTCATCCAAATGAGTTTGTTGCAGACTATGTCAATGCATTCACATGAATATGTATATGTATTTTTGTTTTTGGGGCTTTTTTTCCCTTAATTATTTGGGGGTTTGGGGTGAAATAAAAGTAATTAAGTGCTCATATTTTAAATTAAATAAATAAATATACAAAGTATTGTGTAAATTTAATACTTCATTTGCTATTTTGATATTGAACAAACCCTAAGGGCGGTGGTGTTTTTAATTTGATATATCATGGCCAGAAAGCTGACTGTGGATGCTGCATTGATAAATTTGGTTCAATGATCATGTTCTGCTACTGTTCCCAGTTTTCGTATTTGATAAAATGCTCGAAATTCGTACTTGGAGCAATTATTTTTGTTGGTCACTTTCGGTGGTATTGCAGGTTTTAGAAACATATCAAACTGGAAGTGAAGAATCATCTGTTCCAACACTTTTGTTTTCTTAAATAATCCACAATGATCTGTTATGAAACATATTTTCTATTATATTTTGGATTCTCTCGATGTGTATTTGAATTTGCTGCTTGTAAAAAGCATATGTTAAATGTGCAGTACTATTCCCAATTTGAACCGGCTTTTGTGGATTTTTCATGTAGGCCTGTGGATAAATTATTTCTTGCAAATCAGTATTCGAAGAAATCACTGAGCAGAACTACAACCATGACAGTAAAATCATCCGGAAGTTTTTCGGAATTAGCTTCAGGAGAATTACTAGAGATTCCTCAAACTCCTAGAGGTCTTCCGAGGGTGATGACTCTTCCCGGAATTATATCCGACACAAACACAACCATTGACGTGGACTCAGACACAACGTCGTCTTCTTGTCGTGAACGAAAAATCATAGTCGCAAACATGTTACCTCTGCATTCGCAAAAAGATTGCGAAACTGGCAAATGGCGCTTCAGTTTGGACGAGGATTCACTTCTCTTACACTTGAAAGATGGCTTTCGGCCCGACACCGAAGTCTTGTACGTGGGGTCCCTCAAAGTTGAAATAGAAGCCTTCGAGCAGGAAGAAGTTGCGCAGAGGCTTCTTGAAGAATTCAAATGTGTGCCAACTTTCTTACCTCACGATATCCAAAAGAAGTTCTATTACGGTTTCTGTAAGCAACAGCTTTGGCCACTTTTCCATTACATGCTACCTGTCTGTCCGGACCATGGAGATCGCTTTGACAGACAGCTTTGGCAAGCATACGTGTCTGCAAATAAGATTTTCGCCGATAAAATCATGGAAGTAGTCAATCCAGAAGACGATTTTGTCTGGATTCACGATTACCACCTTATGGTACTCCCTACATTTCTTAGGAAGCGGTACAATCGAGTCAAGCTCGGCTTTTTTCTCCACAGCCCGTTTCCTTCGTCTGAGATTTACAGGACATTGCCCGTTAGAGACGAAATTCTGAAAGGATTACTGAATTGTGATTTAATAGGTTTTCACACATTCGACTATGCTCGGCATTTTCTTTCTTGTTGCAGTAGAATGCTTGGGCTGGACTATGAATCCAAAAGGGGGCATATTGGACTCGATTACTTTGGCCGCACGGTGTATATAAAAATTCTCCCAGTAGGTATCCACATGGGTCGACTCGAATCCGTGTTGAACATGCCATCTACGTGCAAGAAAGTCAAAGAGATAAGTATTAAGTTCAAGGGCAAGAAACTAATTCTTGGAGTCGATGACATGGATATATTCAAAGGCATCAGTCTGAAGCTGCTAGCGTTCGAGCAGCTCTTGCAGCAACACAACGAGCTGCGAGGAAAAGTTGTTCTGGTCCAAATCATAAACCCTGCTAGAAGCTCCGGAAAAGATGTCCAGGAAGCGAAAAAGGAAACCTACACAACTGTCAAAAGAATCAACGAGATGTACGGACTCCCTAATTATGAACCCGTGATATTGATTGACCGTCACGCCCCTCGCTACGAAAAAACGGCGTATTACGCTTTAGCAGAGTGCTGCATAGTAAATGCGGTGAGGGATGGTATGAACTTGGTACCGTACAAGTACATAGTCTGCAGACAGGGCTCTTCAACTATGGACGAAGCCATGGGTGTAAAGGTAAATTCCGCAAGAACTAGCACGCTTGTTGTGTCTGAATTCATCGGTTGCTCACCGTCTTTGAGTGGTGCAATAAGGGTTAATCCATGGGATATAGACTCAGTTGCTGAGGCAATGAATATGGCAGTTACAATGCCTGATGCAGAAAAGCAACTTCGGCATGAAAAGCACTACGGTTATGTAAGTTCGCATGACGTGGCTTATTGGGCACGCAGCTTCATGCAGGACTTGGAGAGGGCTTGTAAGGATCACTATGACAAGCGGTGTTGGGGTATTGGTTTGGGCCTCGGTTTTAGAGTTATTTCGCTCTCTCCTAGTTTTAGGAAGTTATCTGTTGACCATATTGTCTCTGCTTATAAAAGAACAAGCAGAAGGGCGATATTTCTTGATTATGATGGTACAGTTGTGCCTCAATCCTCCATTGTGGGGTCACCCAGTGGTGATGTGGTGAGTGTGCTCAGTTCTCTATGTAATGATCCGAATAATACGGTGTTTATTGTTAGTGGGAGAGGGAGGGCTTCGTTGACTGATTGGCTTGCTCCGTGTGAGAAATTGGGTCTTGCTGCTGAACATGGGTATTTTATAAGGTATCAATTTATTTATTTATTTTTAATTTTTTAATTTTTTTATGTAGTTCGAACGAGTTATATTTATTGTGAGACTGATGAGAAGTGTGTGGTTTTTAGGTGGAATAAAGAGTGTGATTGGGAAGCGTTGGTTTCTGATCTTGATTGGAAGGAGATTGTGGAACCGATTATGAAGCAGTACACGGAAGCGACGGATGGATCTTCGATGGAGATTAAAGATAGTGCGTTGGTGTGGCATCATCATGATGCAGACCCCGATTTTGGCTCCTGCCAGGCGAAGGAACTGTTGAATCATTTGGAGAAAGTTCTTTCGAACGAACCTGCTGTCGTTCGGAGGGGACAACATATTGTAGAAGTTAAACCACAAGTATTCTCTCTCTCTCTCTCTCTCACACACACACACACACACACACACACACACACACACACCATGCACATTTTTTTTCATGCCAATTTTTTTTGGAAAGGAATTGGAATATATATTAGATTCCGATTTCCAGTCGTATTTTAAATGTCGAATTTATTTCCGTACACTAACAATATTGATATTATTGTGTATTTTACATTGTGTGGGTGACTAGAAAGATTAGAAATTCCGAATTCCACGACTCCAATCCAAAAATTTCCAGTTTTGGAACATTTTTTTCTCATTCCAATTCCAAGATTCTGATTTTTTCGATTTTTTTGGAACTGAATTGGAATCAATTTTTTCACTTCTGAAAAAAAATTAGAATTTTTCCGAACGTGCTAATTCCTATCCGTCCGATTTCACACACGTATATGTAGAGTTTTATTGAAGCCCTTCTATTTGCAGGGAGTGACGAAAGGATTAGTTGCTGAGAAGGTTCTCTCAATGATGGCCAACAATGGCAAGGCGCCGGATTTTGTGATGTGCATCGGAGATGACAGGTCAGACGAAGACATGTTCGAGAGCATATCAAGTACAGTCTCAAGTTCATCTGTCCCTTCATTGCCAGAGATATTTGCTTGCACTGTCGGCCAAAAACCGAGCAAGGCCAAATATTATCTCGACGACACTGCTGATGTCATCAGGCTTCTTGAAGGCCTTGCCATTGCATCGAATCCAAAGCCTCACCAAACCACCGCACATTTTAAGGTTGCCTTTGATAATGTTTTCTAATATTAAGGTAAAAGGTTATTACATGTGTAAATTGTTTTGCTCTTTTTGCTAACCAAGATTACATTGACATAATCTTTACTTAGTTTTTAATAGGATGTGGAAAACTGAAGAAAAAAAAATGCCGGGTTTCTGAGGAGATCCCGGGTGTGACTTTTTTTAAGTTTACAAAGCGTTTATTGGTTCGTAAAAAGTGTAGCTTTTGAGGTGTTGATAATGGATGCTGTGATTGATTCTGCAAGGCACCATTGTTTTGTATAGTTTTTAACATTTTCACCTTCGAATGTAATTTGCCTGTCTTGTTTTGTTTGATTCGGTATTTAAGAGTTGTTTTTCGCACTATTTTGAAAATGTATATAATAATTAATAGATACACGAGCATGAATTCAAGAACATCGAATTTACCGACAATATTCGGTGAAACTTTTGGAAATTCAAAGGCGTAAACCTTCAATGTTCATTCGATTTCGGGATTTTCGACTCTATAAAAAATGACTGACATTTATATTTTGCAAGTTTAACCCAAATTTAACCAAGTCCAAATAATTTTGAAGATTTATGCATTATTTTGATTACAACCACATCCCAAATTTACATATTTACAGTTGCAAAATACTGTTACTAAATGAAATAAATCTCTGAAAGTGAAGCTTCGAAATTAAAAAAAAAACACAAACACTAAAATCCGTCTCCAATGCAAGTGTAACGATTATTTGACTGTTTTATGCTCCACAAATTAACAATTGTTAAGAAAAAATGAAAAAAGAAAAAAGAAAAAAAAAAACTGACCAATAAAACATGTGCTGACACCACGGTTCACAACACCGCGCCACAGGCAACTATTCCTCGCTCTGTAATTTTTTTCCGACGCGCACTCTTCCAACTTTTATTTTCCTCCAATTTTATTTCATCATTATACGAACACGCGAATTTCACTGAAATTAATTATTGAAAATTTGTGCAATTGCAGAATTATCCCAAATCGAAGCATTGATCGTGTTTCCTCTTCTGCAGTTGTAGATCCGAATTTTGGATACATCGGAGCATATTCCTTACCTTCTCCGGATCGCTTCTCCCCAATTTTTTGTTTCATTTTTACTTCGTGATCTCATCTGCGTTTAGGATTTTTTTTCTAGTTGAGTTATTAGTGAGGGGAAATTCGATAGTAATTACAGCTGGATCTGGTAGAGCTATCCCGGAGCTTCAGAACGGACTCAATCATGAATCCCTTTTCCTCCGGCACCCGGCTGAGGTTAGTAATCGGAGATGGTCGTTTTATTTTTCTGCGTATATGATTACTGTTAGTGGATCGCAAGTGATTTTTTTTCCTTCTGTTGTGCTTGTGCGAAATAAGGAGGAGCTTGCTTGAATTTTTCAGTTTTAACTTTAACGAGTAACCCTTTAAGAATATTTGTTATATTGTGGCAATTGAACGTAATTTACGTGGATTCATTTTATAATGTCATTGCTTATTTAGGACAATGAAGATAATTTTTTTTTTGGGTGCATGTGTGTGCTGATCGATGAAAATCGTAAAAATGCAATGTGAAGAAAATTTGGGATTTATAGTGATACAATTAGTTGAATAATATCCGGAATTTTCGTAGGTATGGGTTATCATAAGCCCCTTTAATTGGATTATGATATAATATTTGCATTAGGGAACAGTGGATGTGTTATGTAATGAATGATTGGGAGAGTTTAGCTTGATTGGTGTAAAGTCCTAAACCAGTTATGGAACCTATCTTAAGTAAATAACTGATTTTATTAATAACTAAGGCCGGGCGAAGTGGTATTGGAGGTTCGAATTTCCTTTGGGTGCGTAAGTGCGTGTGTTCTAATGGCCATTTATGGGACCATTTTTTTTAAAGGAACTGTTTCATTAATCATGAAGAATTGAAACATGCGATGTTTGGTATATGAATAAGCCCTAAATCCTAGTTGACGTTGAGAAAGAAAATGACACTATTACAGAGCAAAAAAAATCTATGCAGAAGGACAGCTGACAAAGATTGTTTGACGTTTACTGAAAAATCCATGACTTTTTTTTTTCCAGGGACATGATTCGGGCTATACGTGCCTGCAAAACTGCAGCCGAGGAACGCGCTGTTGTAAGAAAAGAATGTGCTTCAATTCGAGCTGCAATTAGTGAAAATGACCAAGATTATAGGCATCGCAATTTGGCAAAGCTCATGTTTATTCACATGCTTGGTTACCCAACACATTTTGGTCAAATGGAATGCCTGAAGTTAATTGCATCACCAGGATTCCCAGAGAAAAGAATTGGATATCTTGGCCTTATGTTGCTTCTTGATGAAAGACAGGAAGTTCTGATGCTGGTTACAAACTCAATAAAACAGTATCCATCCTAAAGTATACTTCATATTTTGACATGTTTTTCTTTGAAAAACGTAACGTCTTGAACATTCACATCCACCTTATGAATCCTGTTATTTTATATTGTTGTGAAGTCATTGTTGATGGTTCATTTACTTGCTTAAAACATCAGTTGCATCAGATACCTTAACTTGTTCACAGAGATCTAAATCACACCAACCAGTATATTGTTGGACTTGCTCTTTGTGCTTTGGGAAATATCTGTTCTGCAGAAATGGCTCGGGATCTTGCTCCAGAAGTTGAAAGATTACTTCAATTTAGAGATCCTAATATACGTAAAAAAGTAAGTCCTTCTCTTCACCTAGAGTAAGAATATAGGTACATTTAGTATATATACTTCTGGTATAATAATGCCCTTCCATAGTGTGTAATGTGTTGTTCACTCATCAAGTGTTATGTAGCTGCACAGTTGCAGTATGATAGTTCCTCAAACAATTCTCTTGTCTTTTGGAACCGTTTGAGTTGTAATGTTGGAGTTCTTATAGTACTTCAACGTGTTGGATGATGGACGGGGGGAATATTATGAATATTTTACACGTTTTGTTGGTACTTTTTTTTGTGGAAATTTGAAAAGTAATGGTCTTTCATGAGAAGGTAATTCTAAGATATAAGAGTGCACATAGTTTCTCCATATTCTTATCTTGAAACTAAGTCTTCTTAATTTTTTTATTTTTTTATTTTAAAGTTGTCTCTGCTATCTGCTTCGAAGTTCAGGGTCAATTATGATATTGATTATGAGAAAACAGAAACATGTATGCTTTTGGATCATTAAAATAGCTAAAGAACAGAACAGTTATGGCTTCACCGTTTATTTTACTCCATATCAGCTTCTGATCAGAGCCCTGAAACATCATATTGTCTTTAATTACCTTATTTTCTTGTGTTTAGGCAGCATTATGTTCTATAAGAATAATAAAGAAAGTTCCCGACCTGGCAGAGAACTTTATTAACCCTGCAGCCTCCTTGCTGAAAGAAAAGCACCATGGAGTTTTGTTAACGGGAGTCCAGCTTTGTACAGATATGTGTAATGTTAGTAGCGAGGCTCATGAGCATTTCAAAAAGGTAAGTTCTCAAATTTTAACTCTATGTATTCCCTGGAGATAGTTATTATAATCCATTGTGTGTGTGTGTATATATACATAAGTTGCGAATGTTACAAAATGTTAATCCTATTTTTTTTTTAATGGCTGGTTCTAGAAATGCATAGACGGCTTAGTCAAAGTTCTAAAGGACCTTACAAATAGTCCATATGCACCTGAGTATGACATTTCTGGGATTTCAGATCCTTTTCTTCATATTAGATTGCTCAAGCTATTGCGCGTGTTGGGCCAAGGAGATGCTGATGCTAGTGATATTATGAATGATATTCTTGCCCAGGTAACTTGGCATATTCTTGTGTATCTAACTCTTCCTCTCTGACAATTCAAAGTGAGAAACAAGAGAAACCCCGGTTTTGTTATCAATATCAGAATTGTTCATATTCATGATTTCATGATAACCTGGTTATTGGCACTTGGTTTTTATTCGGTGCGTCCTTTATAGTGTATATGTTCTGTATCGTGTAACAAAGTTTCACATGTTTTATAATTTGTGATTTTGTAGGTGGCAACCAAAACCGAGTCGAACAAAAATGCAGGGAATGCTATCCTCTACCAATGTGTTGTTACAATCATGAGTATTGAAGATAATGGAGGGTTAAGGGTACTTGCTGTCAATATTTTGGGAAGATTTTTGTCTAGCCGCGACAACAATATCAGGTTATTGTCATTCATCCTGTTTGGCCACTTCATACAATTTGTTAGAATACCATCTATTAGCTTTCTTTACATTTCCTGGAATAAAAGATGGAATTAGGGCAATCTTGACTTTCCTAAAAAGATGAATATAAAAACTTAGCAGATTTTGGTGCACCGCGGAAACTTTTCTGGTTAAATGGATGTTCTGAGAGCCAATTTTAATTTAACGATTTAGCTATGTCATTTATATTCCGAAGCTGGTTCAACGTGAGGTTATACATAATGCTACAAACAAGTTTGTAGAATGTGAAAAGTCAAATAAGCACCCAATCATGCTAATATGGTAACATTGTATTAGTTTCTTGGAATTCTTTTACACACTCTAGTAAGGCATTTGTTTTTTTTAAGATAAGATATTTCTTACTTACGAGATCAAACTGAGTATACATTTTTTTTAGTGTTTTCCCATATTGTACGCTGATTTAAATTGAGTCCTGATAAACAATAAAACATGAATGTTGTTTTTATCTGATGCACCTCATAAGAAGTTTTTGATTCTTTTTTGGCCTCATGGCTTTCTATCTGATTGAGTTAGAAGTTGTTATTTCAGATATGTCGCATTGAATATGTTGATGAAAGCTATTGCCTTAGATAGTCAAGCAGTGCAGAGGCATCGGGTCACAATTCTGGAATGTGTAAAGGTGCAATATGACCTTACTCTGTTATTTCTTTCACTGAAATTTATTTATTTGTTTTCCAAAATTCTTTTGATTCTATTGGTTTCATGTGTTGCACAATATGATGCCATGCTTGTTGGGAATGCTTCTATGCGCTCAATTATCTTCAACTTTAATTTCATAGTTTGATAAATTATCTGTATTTTATTGGTTAGTGGCTATATCAGAGGGTCAACCCCCATCCGAAACCCTAAAACAGTCCAACAATTTTTGTTGTGCCAATAATCGTTTTTCATTATTCTCTGGTTTCAGTCTTCTGATTATACACACATATGTATACCTGTTTCTCTAGTCAGCTTTTTAGGAGAACATACTGGCTGTACTATCTTAGCAACTCATGGATTCTTATTTGATGTCAGGATTCAGATGCTTCAATTCGTAAAAGGGCCCTCGAGCTTATTTATCTTCTGGTAAATGAAAACAATGTGAAGTTATTGACGAAAGAACTTATCGACTATCTTGAAGTAACCGACCCAGATTTTAAAGAAGACCTCACAGCAAAAATTTGCTCTATTGTGGAGAAGTAAGTTAAACAAGTTAAGAAACTTCTGGTCTCCCTCTTTTGTCAAATAATGATATGATGATTAATGTTTTGTGTACTCAAGTGTGTCGAGTGAATTTGTACCATCTGTTTAGCAGATCATACTTCTGGAATATAGTTAGTTGGTAAATTTGATGTGAATTGATCATGAAAATTAACTTTTTTTTTTTTTTGATGTACTTTTTGTTGATTTTAATTTATATATATCAGGAATTAGATCTTTCGAGATCTTGCTTTGAAATGAAACGGCTGTTCAAATAATTGGGTATTTTAAAAGTTCCTTTCATCCCCTTTTCGGTACTAGTGACTTATCTATTGCATGTCATCATTTTTCCACCCCTTTTTGTTTATAATCTATATTTTTTCAATTTTATCAGAGTGTCTCTTTACTAACTTTTTTCAATGATTATCCGTGGGTTCTTATCGCCACCAGTATTGGTTAAAGATATTTAACTCCCATATCGTTGACTGATAATAGATTTAGCATGTTTGAATAAATTATTACATGTCTTCTAGTTTATTGTAGTTCTTCTTAGCTTTATATCATCTGCTGTGTTGTGCTTTAGGTTTTCCCCTGAGAAACTATGGTACATAGATCAGATGCTCAAGGTTTTATCAGAGGTATGCCAACGCTTCTGCTGAGTTACTGTTAGTAATAACTTGGATGTAAAGTTGGTGATCTTGATAATTTGACAAAGAAGAGATGTAATGCTTAATATTTCATGCATCAATAGTTTCTATTTTATCAATTGGTGCAACACTAATATATGAGAATATTAAATATCTTGTTTTAATCTTTTTGTTATCATGCCTTGTTAACTGGAAGATCATGAATTCGAATATTAAGGTGAGTGTGACATGTCAAAAGTCTAGAACACGGTGATTTGGAAGTGAATTTTATGGCTCACAAAATTAAGATTAAGAAAGACAATACCTCATCCTGATTAAGATATAGTAAGATGCTTATTATTTTAGTTACACACGAATTTGGTTGTCGGGGTCGTATATTACAGTGATGGTGGATATATAAATGCTTTTGGGTATGTGGCCCAAATTATATGTAACTTCAGTGACGAGTTATTTTACTTTCTGGTGAAATAAATAAAAGAATAAAACTCCATTCAAATGGTGGGTGGGAGCTTAAAACTCTAGAAACATCTTGGAATAAGAGAACCATAAATGGTTATGAACACTAGTTATTCCACACCAATGAGTCAAAGTACTTATGCCACTTGAGAAAATGTACACAATATGGTCTTGTTTTTTAATGAGTAAGACTTTCAATTAACCATATATGTTGCCCATACTTTTATCTTGTTACTCGTGAGGTCTTACAGATATAAGCTATATTGTCTGATTTCTATTCAACAATACGTGTTTATGTGTTGCTTACCCTATCATTAATTCTTGTAGAAGTATGCCATATTATCTAGTCTATTATCAATGAAAAGCTGGACCCAACCCATTTTAATTGAGAACTGATTGTTGTAATATGCGGTGCAGGCTGGTAACTTTGTAAAGGATGATGTGTGGCATGCCCTTATTGTTGTAATCACTAATGCTCCTAACCTCCATGGGTACACTGTACGATCACTGTACAAGGCTGTGCAAACAGCAGGTGATCAGGTACACTGTAGCTGCTATAGGATAAACTCTATATTGTGTACTTGTCCGCTCAATTTTGAAATTGTGCTAATGTTTCATCAGGAAACTCTTGTTCGAGTTGCGGTTTGGTGCATCGGAGAATATGGGGAGCTATTGGTTAGCAATACAGGAGTGCTCGATGTAGAGGATCCAATAACCGTGCGTTCATGCTTTCTAAAATTTTCCTTACTTTTATCATCAAATGTCAACCTGAATAAATCCAAGTTCGTTGCGTTCTTTGACAATGTCGGACCTGTCTACTTTGTCATATTATCTGGAGCAGGTAACAGAGGCTGATGCACTGGATGTTGTTGAAACTGCTATTGGAAATCCTTCCTCGGATCTCACAACTCGAGCTATGTGCTTAGTTGCTTCGTTGAAGCTATCAAGTCATTTTCCCTCCTGTTCGAAGTATGTTACCATTACCCAACTATAAAAATTAAGCTCTATTACGTGGAACATACCTGCATCTTCGAATCTACGTGCAAACTTGGGCATTCAATGCCAATGCATATGTACTTATCCCTATAGCATTCACAATGCAATGCATGTTTCAGTATTGCCATTTACTTGTCAAGTTAAGAAATATTTGTAATCTATCACAGGAGGGTAAGTGACATTGTCCGTCATCATAAAGGAAGCCTTGTGCTGGAACTGCAACAGAGAGCGATTGAATTCAATTCTATTATCGAGAAGCATGGAAAAATCAGGTATAGATACAAAGTCTTATAATTTTGTAAATTTGCATAGTTTCTTCTCCTTTGTATCTTTATTAAATGGTTATATGCGCTGGACGCATTTGTTCAGGTCTACCTTGGTTGAAAGGATGCCAGTACTCGACGAGGCAACCTTTAGTGGGAGGAGAGCTGGTTCCATGCCACCTTCCGTGTCAACTTCACAAGGAGCTCTACCCAAAATTCCTAACGGAGTTGCAAAACCCACTTCAGCTCCGCTCGTTGATTTACTCGATTTTAGTTCCGATGACATTCCGGTACCTGGCGGCTCTGGCGGAGATTTCCTTCAGGATCTTCTTGGAGTTGATATCTCGCCATCTCCTTCACAAGGTCGATTTTTCTTATGCACAATGAAACAATGATTTATTTTTGAATGCTTTGCAAATTTCTGAAATATTAGCATTGTATTCTCTAATCTGTTGCTACTAAAAACTCATGAGAAGATGCTAATTTTTTCAAAACCCACACGGCAGAGTTATATTGTTATTTTTCCATTGGTTTTACGATTGATCTTTGTTGACATAAGCTCTTCCCCGTTACACTTTAATTTTAAGCAACGTTTGTTTTCAATATTTCAGTAACAAGTGGGACCCAAAAAAGCGGTACGGATGTGTTGTTGGACCTTTTGTCAATTGGAACTCCTCCAGCTCAAAGTAACCTATCCACGCTCGATATTTTATCGCCCAGTCAAGATATCAAAAGTCCAGTGGATGTGTTGACCAAATTGGCCTCCCCTTCACCTTCAGCACAAACCTCTACCCCTGTTGGAGGTTCTTCAATGCTCGATTTGTTGGACGATTTTGGAACTACTCTGTCATTGCCTGGTTTGTTCATCACTCTATTCACCTTGTTTGTTTGTTTGTTTGTTTGTTTGTTACTATGTACGTAATTGACAATGTTCTGAAACCCTCTGAAACCCTCGTTTTTAAGTTGCAGAAACCAATGGGCCAACCTATCCAGCGATTATTGCATTCGAAAGCAGTTCCTTAAAAGTAACTTTTAACTTCTCGAAAGAACCTGGCAGCCCACAGACCACTCTAATCGAGGCTCGTTTTACAAATAAATCGCCCAATGCATACTCAAATTTTGTGTTCCAAGCTGCTGTCCCCAAGGTATTATATCTAATGAGTTCTATCTGCTCAGAGAATAACTTGAATTTGTTCTTACATTTATATTGTTTTCTGGGGTAAAGCCACTCGATTTCTTCGGTACATTTTAGATTTTGTGTGTGTGTGTGTGTATTATCTGCAGTTTCTTCAATTGCATTTGGATCCAGCTAGCAGCAATACACTTCCTGCAAATAGCAACGATTCCATCACACAGAAATTACGAGTTTCAAACAGTCAGCATGGCAAGGTACGAAATTTGTCAATATTTTTAGTATTCTTGAAATTTAACTTCACCATTTTCATCTGCGAGTATATGAATTACGGTTTTATTTCCAGAAATCACTGGTCATGCGTTTAAGGATAAATTACAAGGTGAACGATAAAGATGTTTTGGAGGAAGGACAAATCAACAATTTCCCTCGTGATTTGTGAGTTCGATAATTCTCTCACTGGAGAAGCATCTTTCTTTCACTGTTTATAGAGCCAAAATTATGTACATTGTTAAAAGAAAAAACGAAAAAAAAAAAAAATCCTTCATTTTCCCCCTCATTTATTTTTCGATTTTGTAACCTAATTTATTATAGAACCCATACTCGATTTTAGAAAAAAAAAACATTTTTGTAGTATATAGACTTCCGAAGAATATACCCTCGATTATGTGAATCTTTATGAATTTTTTTAAAACGAATGTAGACTTTTAATTATGCATTAATTCCATTTTTCTTAATTAGTTAAAAGAAAATAATTCATAATATGTTCGCAATAATATAAATTAACAGATATATTGGAGAGAAAAAAAAAATAGATAAATTCGGGCCTGGAATATATAAACGGGCCTGGAAAGGGGGACCAATGATGATCTTGTGCAACAACAAGATTGATACTGGTAATAAATGCATTTGTCATAAGGTGTTCGGTCATATTGTACTTGTATTGTCACATTAAATTATTTTTAACTTTTAATTTAGCAACTGCATGTGGTGAATGAGAATGCTTCACATGCACCACTTGTAATTTTATTTAATTATTTCCAGACCATATATAACAGCCTGGACTATATAATAACGAGGGATAAAATCATTCGAATTCCAACATAAAAAAGTTAATATTACGAAGGAACCTGTAGTCAACCGTATAGGTGTATTGTGTAAAACTACACTCTCGTATAACCGATCTAGCGACCGTTGGTAAGAGAATTCGTACTTAAGTCGATTGACTCGAGTTCTCTTGCTCCAACCGCTAGATCATCTCTTGCAGGACTTCAGTTAACTAATCTGCGTCAGCTTGAGATGGGTTTATGACATAATAGTTTTGATAATTTTCCCGCCAAAATTCACTCTTTTCTTTTAAATTTTTTTGTTATTTAGGACCATTTTGGTAGCTTTAACTATTGGAGAATAGTATATAATATGTTGGAGAGGACATGAATTATTGTACCGTAATAGAATCTTAGGAGAACACTGTCTTACACTTGTCTCTCTCTAACAATAGTATAAATAGTCACAAGGGCAACGATCTGTTTCCAAAATTACGAGATCTACTAGAATTAGGATTTAACTCATTTTTGTTAAATTTTCGTATTTTCTTAGTTTAATTAGTTTTTCGATTTTACAAAAAACAAGGAAAACCCACCTCTTTTTTTCTTTTTTCTTTTTTCTATAAAAATCAAAATTTACAGAAATACCCCCCACCAAATTGCTTTCACTGCTACTACACAAAGAGAAGAGAACATGGGCTGATAATACAACTAAAAAGCTTGAAATTACTCTTCACAAATATCATAAAAATGTCAACTTTGCCAATCAAAGGTTTCCACATCATCATCATCATCATCATCATAAAAAAGAGTGCCTTCCCACCATATTTTTTTACTGATCCCACCACTCACAATTTCATCCCACATCAGACACATAATAAAGCACCAAACTTTATTTCATATCTAAGTGAGTTTCCAAGAAGCATTCATCAACAAAATCTTGAACCTTCTACTAATCTATTCAGCTTACTACACTTTATTGTTCTTTGTTGCACCATAATTAAAGTATACATGTGTCACACTAAATACAACCCCAAAGTTTTAGTGGGAATCAAATTTGAATTTCAAGATAGAAAAGTTGCATAAAGAGAAACCAAAACACAAAAGTCAAAACAAAAGCATAACCACACACACACACACACACACACACAGAGAGAGAGAGAGAGAGAGAGAGAGAGAGAGAGAGAGAGACATTACATGGTAAAACTCCGTATAAACTCAAAGAAATTTTCAAGGTAAGCTTGCATTAACAGCATTAGAATAATGTGTGATAGCTGCTGAACTAGTGAATTTACCACCTTTCTTGGACCACATCCAAATCTTGGAAACAGAAAAGCTTTCACCTTTACCCCCACTGTTAATTTTCTTCCCATCACCATATTCTTCACAGCCTGTGAAATTACCTTTCTGCCCCCACCCCCCTTTCACAGCAGCCCTCACACCACCACTACTACACTCAACACCACCACCTTCTCTTCTACTACTAGGGCACAATGCAACTTGCAGTTCAGAATCATTATCAACAACATACTGGCAAGAACCCATTGAATAGCATCTCCTAGCACCACTCAACTTACTATTGCTACTCTCTCCAACCTCACTTTCTTGATCATTATTTACATTTACACCCCTGAATTTCCCAAGCCTCACAGAAAAAACCCTCTTCTCATTAATCACAGCACTGCTAATAATACCATCACCATTCTCTTCCCTTGAACCCGAATCTTCGGCTTCTTTCGAAGAATCTCCGAACCGGAAAATCGGGTTCTCGAAAGAAAACACGGTGGACAAAATCACCCCTCTGCAGAGTGGGCAAGTCGAGTTAGACAGCAACCATGTGTCTATACAGTCAATGTGGAAGGCATGGCTGCAAGAAGGAAGCAACCTTAACTTGTCCTGCTTCGAGAATTCACACAGACAAACGGCACAATCGAAGGGCTCCTTTAAACCGGTAATAATATCCTCGTACAGAAAAACCGGGAGGGAATCGATGTGGGATTGGTCTAAACCGGAGTCGTGTAAGTGGAAAAGCTGCTGTAATTGTCTCTGGAAAGAACCGGAGGTGGGAATTCTTGTTTCTGGGTAGTTGTGAAAGTGTGCAGATCTCTGTTTGAGGAGGAATCTTATGAGTAAATGGAGAAGAGCGGCGATGAAGAAGAGAATTGCTGATACTACTAGTACGAAAAGGATGACTGGGCTGATTTTACTACCGAAAGCTGATTGAATCCAAGACATTTCAAAATTTCAAGAAAACAAAATAAAAATCGAATCTTTAGCAGTGGGAGTGAAGAAAAGCCCACGAATTTTCAAGAAAATAAAATAAAAATCGAATCTTTAGCAGTGGGAGTGAAGAAAACCCACGAAATTTTCAAGAAAATAAAATAAAAATCGAATCTTTAGCAGTGGGACTGTGGGAGTGAAGAAAGCCCACGAAATTTCAAGAAAATAAAATAAACATCGAATCTTTGGCAGTGGGAGTGAAGAAAAACCCCACGAAATTTCAAGAAAATAAAATAAAAATCGAAATTTCAAGAATATTGCGTGATGCAGGAAAAACCCTTGAGAAAGAAGATGGGTGATTTTTATTACAGATGATACGAGGATTTAAGGATCGGAGAGAGTGGGAGTGAAGAAGGTTTTGTTTTTAGGTTACTTGAGAGAGTAGTGTTAGTTGTTAAGACAAGACAGAAAGTGGGGAAGAAGAGAATTTGACACTCAAAACTATGGTGGTGCTGCCATTTTTGTTGGGCTTCTTACATGCATATATGTAAGTCAATATATGGAATTAAATTATTAGTGACACTGATTTGCTTTCTAGTTTTGGTCAAATTTTGAATTTTTATTTTTACTTAAGTCAATACTATTTGACATGGATAATTTATTAAAAAAAAAACTATTAAATGGAATAAGAGAAAAAAATTAAAAAAATGTTCCATAGTTGAAATTTTTCGATCGGAACAGAGAGAAAATCGAAATTCTATTTTTTATTCACCTATAATATAATTTTTTTAATAAAATTATTATTATTATAAGTGTAATTAATGAATGAATTGAAACTTTCGATATCATTTTAGGAAATTAAAATCGAGAAATCATAATATTTATTCGTTTCAATATCCTAGTTTGGGCTGTTCTGGGCCACATAACTGATGGTTAAACAACTACTAAGGCCCAATTGTAAAATTTGTTGGGCCCAAATTGGATTATTTCTTAAATAATTACGAGATGTTGATTTAATCACTCTTTGAATTTAATTACATCTAATTTCATTAACAGTAGAACCTTGTGTTTTTTTTTTTAAATACATCATATTATTTAATATAATTAGTAGCAGTCCCGTACAATTAATTCTGATGATACTGTTCTCATAATAGATTTAATATAAAGAATTAAATAATTAAGTTAATAAATCTACAGTACTCATAGCTAGCACTTGAAACTTGAAACAACAGAAAGAAAGTAAAAAAAATAAAAAAATCACCCACAAATTAATTACATTGATTTCTCAAAATATCTTACAGCATACAACAGAAAACTACGTTAATTATTCTACTAATTTGCCCTAGAAAACAGTAATTATATTATAAAGGGTTCTTGCAAACCCTACAAACACATGCACTCATTATAAAACAAACACAATTAATTTTTTTTTTTTAAATTATTAATTGAGCTTAACAACATGAAGAAAGTCCAGAAAAGGACTAAAAAAAAAGGGCTAGAATTAATATAATTAAAATGGAATATTTAGAGGTAAATAAATTATGGAAAATGAGAGTGGGAAAGAGTCTGCAAGAAATGAATCTGAAGCCTGAGAAGTAAGATATAATCGGCTGTCCGAACGAAAGCATGTCGGGATTCAAACCTTGGCCACCTGGTATTATTTTCTGCAGCTTCTTTACTTTTCTTTTTATTCTTCTTCTTCCTCCTCCTCCTTCTCTCACCATCTTCATCTTTTCACTTCCCATATATATTACTATATATAAAATATTAAATTCTAAAAAATATATTTGCGAATTTCTTCGAGCTAGCAATATAAAAGAAATATATAAAAAGAATGGAATATCGACGACGAAGATATATGATGTTGTGATGAACGTTGTAATGCAAGAAATGTGAGGTATAAATTAGCGAGGAATTCGGGTGGGGTGGGGTTGGGGGGTAGGGGGGGGTAGGGGGGGGGGGTAGGGGGGGGGGGGGGGAAGGTAACCCGTGGCCCTGTGAGGATTGGGAAAAAAAAAATTGGGTTTGGGACTTTTTGAGAAAACTTCCTGAGCTGGTTGAGTTTAAAGAACCCCAATTTGGCGGGTTTTTTTTCCTTTTTTCCTTTTTAATTTTTAATTTAATAAAAAAAATTAAATGGGGGGGGATGCCTGGAAATTGGAAGAAAATATCTGGGAGGGGGTGTATATTTATATATATATATATATATATATATAT